CATCCTTGCAGTGCAGCAGTTTGCTGCTTGCAGCTGAGAAGCGGCTGGCATGGGAACCCACAGCAGTAGAGCATGGGGTCCAGGTCGTTGAAGCGCCGCTCAGCCATATCAGTATACAGCCTCATTTGAAATGCAAAGCCGGGTTTTGCCAGTAATTGCTTTAGGGGCACCCATCACTATCACATGGAAGACTCTTCCCATCAGCAAAGGTTGTGCATAATTCACAAGTATCGTTCAATGCAAGAGACACCTTGGGAGGACTGTTCCGAAGAAGAAACTTGAGTGGAGGTAGGGCTCGATCTGTAGCAGATACAACCTCCACCTCTTCAGGGAACATAAATTAACACAGACCGTTTTTTGAAAGAGATTGGTTTGAATTGCATGCTGACTCTTCCGACCACCAGGGTTGAACGAGCCTTCTTCTGGCCAATGAGCTCTTGCAAGGCCCACACCGGGCCATCAGCCCCACTGCCTCAGAGATTCATAGAGATTCTAGGGGGTCAACCAAAAACCTAATGTTGAGAGTTGAGAGCCACATCGAATGAAACGCTTGCCGGGATGCAGTCTGACATCAATGTGAAGCGCACCTTCAGGAAGTCCCGGATGTAGCCCACTCCTTGAGATCAAGTTTTGTTGTTAGTTAGTTACTTTCAGGATCTGTCAGGGGTCCTTTGAACAGACAGACAGTCTTTGAACCACTCTTTGAACTTCCAAGAGTCCTCCACGTCGAAGCATGTCTGAGCCCCAGCCCTGCAGGTGCTGCCTGTGCTGCTGCAGCAATAGCGGCGCCGGCAAGATCTCGTCATGCCTTGGATAAAAACAAAGCCAGTTCTCGCATGGTCATGTATTTTCAGTTCGTTGACAATCAATGATTCTGGGGCACAACTGGGTCTTGGCAAGCTCAAAATTTGCCAGCCCTTCCTCCTCACTGCTGCTAGAGTCCCAGCTCATGGTCGAACCATTGCTATCGGACCCATCACTACTTTCATCACTGCCATCCTCAGTGGAATAGGAATATTCCCCTGAAGATGGCTCGAGCATGATGGTGCTCTGCTGATGGGAAGTCTCCTGACAAAATCAATCTAGAGTCCCGCTTGCTGATGGGAAGAGTCCCACTTGTGACGGGTGCCCCTTATAAGTAAACGTATCAAATCCTGCAAATTGGAAGGGGACGAGAGTGTAGGAGATCGCAGATGCTGTATATAGCATGGAATATGAGTGGTAGATTGTATTCCGGAAATATAGATTTCACCAAACCCCAGAAGGCATAGCGTCCGACACCAGTTTGCAATTGGCATTCCCAGAGCACAACGAAAAGAAATTGGGAAGAAACGGAAACACTGATTATGTGTGAGAAGAGTGTAGAAGTTCAACCTTTGTGTCAGGATTGCGAAGCTGCAGCCGGCGGTTCCATCCTGCTGCTGCGCTGGAGTGGTTTGGAGGAGGGGAAGTGTGAAGCGTAGGGTTCAGCAACCATGGTAGTCCAGGATGTATAGAAGAGATATTATCAGGCTATCCCAAAAATGAGAACACAAGAGTGGCAGCAGTCATCACTTGTTAGAGTTACAGAGGAAGTGGATGCTGGTAGTGGAAAAGCAGTAGTTGCAGTCATCAACTGTCATATCGATCGCGCAGTGGTGGCACTGTCCAGCAGAAGCGGTTTGCATGCCACCCGAGGCCGAATCCGCACAATTTTCGGCTCATTGCGACAGGGAACTGATTTGCAAATCAGAGTGATGTGTGAAAAGGGAAGCAGCAACGAAGAGGTTAGCGCACTAGTTCCTGATTTGACAGCTTAGCGCGAGTTACGCAAATACTGAAACGGACAGGGGATATTATGCAGAACACTGGCAAGACAGAATGACAAGAGCAACCAAAAGGTTAGCGAGCAGAAGAAGAACAACGCAGGAAGCAAAACACGAATCCGAATACTTACTAGGACTACTTACCATTCCGCAGGACTACTTACGACGACTGACTATTTCTCAGTACTTGCGATTGCTACTGCCATGGGCAAGCAGCCGCGCGGTTTGAGGTCGGAGCCGAGTGAATGGCCGGAGCACTTGCGTAGCTTTGTTCCCAGTAGCAGTAGTCAGCAAGAGAGGCCCGGCATAGGCGCGTTTCGGTCTCTGGCAAACGAAAGCACTGATGTGCGCGAAAGAGCCTTGACGGCGTTGGCGCCGGGCACCGTGGGACGTTCAGGAACGTTGCTTCAGCGACAACCCCAGTGGCTGCAACAGCGTTCGCTGGCGTTTCATGTCGAACATCGGGCCATCGAACACCCTGGAGATGATGCTCGCTCGAGCCGGCAGCTGAGCTTGTTGACCGCCAATTTTGGAAGTCTGGAGCGGCTTGGAGTCAACGCTGCAGGGATACAGGAGGAGACAAGAGTGCAGTCATATTTGGCAGGAAAATTTCACTTGTTATTACTTCAAGAGGCATATAGCCTGGACTTCAAGCGGACATTGCGCACCTTCGGGTATTCATTTGTGACTGGGTGCGGCGGAAACCTTTTGATTGCAATGGGTGGCACGGGTGGCCGTTTCTCACTCAACTCCTATAGATGTTATATTTTCGAAACTTCCGTCACCGCCTCGTGCGGCTATATGTTAAATATCACATTCTTTGGATAGTTGAATACTTACACTCGGGATCAAAGTCCCTTTGCTGTTCGACTTAGCTTTCCCGGGACGGTTCGCAGTGCAGCGGCTCCAAGCACGCACTTGCTGCAGCAAGGGAGAAAAATTTGCGAGTCAGCAGCAAGCAGCGAGCGGCAATAGTCTCCGCTTCTCCACAATCATCAATCACTGCATGGATGCGCCTCGCTCCTCTGCGGATGACCTTGCACAAACTTTTACCCACTAAAATTGAACCATGTGTCAACATCCACACGTGAAATACTCTGGCATCGCGCAAACATAGCGCAACTTCATGTACACCATGAAAAACATGGATAGTGTGTATTTTTTCTGTTCTGGCTACGCCGGTGCCCCGCCGTACCCTTCTGTTGAAATTTCCAACTTCTATCTTCACTCCCGTAAGATTTCACACCTGAAACGGATTCAATCATATTTCTACTTTTTCCGCTTTCACCATCTCAGACACATACAAAAAAGCCAATCTCCAAGCATATTCACAGAACATTTTCTGTAACATCCAACATGTGAGCGATACCAAAAAAAACTTGACCCCTGAATTTTTATAAAAAGACAAAAGTCAGGTTACGCTAAAAAACACCTGGTATCGTTTTTGCTTCTTCTTCCCTAGCTTGCCTACAAATAGATCGTTCGCAAGAAACCAACAAAAGACACCAACAAACGACTTAGATTGTATGAAATATCTTAGATATCAGATTTCCTGACTACCAAACATCTCAAAACCACGCTATTTGCGTCGTTTCGTAGCCCTCGGAAGCAGCGAACGCCGTAATTACCGATGTTTTTTGACGCTCAGGTGCTCAAAACCACAGTATTTACGATGTTTTTCAAACAACGCGGTATTTGCGCTGTTTTTTGCACACGCGCCTGCAAACACATCGGTATTTACATGCTTGGGCTACATTGTCATTTAGTTTTGTTCAGGTCACAATTTGCAAAAACACTGTAATTTACACCCTTTTGGGCCTTGCCGCACACAGCAAAAACATTCAAAAACAGTCCCAAAACCACCCACATTCTGTGCCTTTCCCGATCTGCGATTTTTGGTCGATTTTGTACACATTTTTACCATTTTTTTACCCTTTCCGATGTCCCCGGAAAACGCCTCGTGCCCATGCAATTCAATGATTTTTATGGATTTTCCTAAAACCCGATTTTGGAATCGCTCAACTTCCAAAAACGAGTCGAAATGCAGGCGAAAACATCGTTTTTTCGAGCCACATGCAAAAAAACACTGTAAAAAACAGGGTTGGCGTCAGGGGCGCCACCCAGGATAGCAAGCTAGGCTTGTTTATGCTAACGGCACGGCATCGCCGGATTTTAAGAGTCAACACTAAGAGCGGCGACCCAGGGTACTCCAACGTGTTGAGATGCGATCCATGCCACTTTGAGTTCTGATCCATGTCACGGACATGGCAAGACATCATGGGGTGTCCTGGTGTTACCAAGCTGACACGCTATGGAGAGCATTCCCACCAAAAGAGCCACCGAGTTAGATGCACTCCTGTGACCTTGGTCATAGGATGTCATAGGTTTCATGTTTGCGATGTGACACCCATGGCAATCGAACAGCTGGCAACCTGTGATCAGCGCTGGAATTACGGTTGGTGGCGATTCCTGAAAGTCTGTGAGGTACTCTTTTTTTGCCGAATCTTCAAGTTTTTCATGGACAAAATCCTACACCAGCAGGAAGAATTCTTGCAAACACTATGGGAGCCTTTGTGCATTAGATTCTGCATCAATCACTTTTTTCCAACTCGTAGACACCTCCCTGGTGCACAAAATAGGTTCGCAGTCCTCCAAAATCCAATGGTTGTTTTTGATCAAAGCCCTTATTAAGATACTTTAATATCAACTCAGGAGAACTGGCACTGTTTTTGAGGTATATGATTGTCGGCTTTCGCTTGAGGTTCTAGATTGGTTCTCGGTTCTCAACTAGATGTTCTATATAGTTGAAGGAGATCTACTAAGAGCTGTTATAGGGAGCTATGATAAGGGTAATATAGTATAATATATTATTATATATAACATATCAACATATCATTCATTGCAACTTCTTCAGTAGGTCCTGTCAGACCGAATCTGGTGGAACGGATCTTTGATGAGGCATTCCAGCCCACGGAACGCCGCTCACCTGTTTGTTCCGAACCGGTTTCACTTGCCATGGACCGTCCGAAGAAATCCTGGACCACTAGGGTAGGAGTTGTCCACAAACACTCATTCAATCGTTTTTTTTCAACATGTCCATACAAGGGCGGCGGGAATGTTCGACACAAGAATCATCTTAATCATATTATGTTTTTTTTCCTCCAGGTCAATCAGTCAGGAGTCTTCCCAACTCAGGTGAGGAGTTTCCTGGCCGCTTCATGGAAAAGGCACGGAATTCTTCGCGAACTGACGTTCTTCATCCTCACACGCATTCGTCGTGACGCGCTTCGAGCTCGACCGGAGTGTTTGGTTGACCAGAGCAGATCAAATGGAGCTATCAGTTGCATAAGCAACATGCAAACTGCCAGAGATGGTATGGAAGATGGTCTTCAACTTTTGTACTTGGTATCGGTTTGTCAGTGATCCTGCAATGGTTTTTGGGGCTGGGAGGGCAGAAGATGAGTTGTGTTGTGAAGACGGACGATGCCTTGAAGCCCCACCACCGGGAGTTCGTTCCTCGTCCACATGGTCCCCAACCTCGTCCAGCCGGTTTGTAATTCGCAAAACTGAAGAAGCCTAGTATACAAACTCCATTGGAAGTGGTTGCCCATCCAGAAGATTTTAACTATGGCTCGCTGTGATTCACTTGTTCTTATATAAGAATGTTAGACGGCAAAGCCAGCTCAACGTATGTTTTAGCTGGTCTTGGAAGGCTAGGGTGTATTAAAGGAATTCAAACATACAGTGGATCTGTGAAACCAACTTGGCTGTGCACCTTGTGTTGTTGACCTAGAACTCAAAGGTGATCGCTTTTCTTTGGAGAATCAGGCACCTTATTCTGGGTGGTTGCTACTCAGTAACTCGAGTGCTTTAGGCGTACCTGAGCATCTTTGATCCAACTGCTGGACCATGTACCATGATTGTTAAGTGTTCGTTCCCTCAAGGGTGGGCCAGGAATCCTCGGCACCAAATCACTCCGCTGCTCCCCAACTGCTGGGGGATCGAACTCGCCTACTCTTGCAGTTTGCGGGCCCCGGCGCCTCTGCTGCGGAGAAGCTCTATGCGTCAGTGGCTTGGGCGCAACAGCTGTATGCGTCAACGTACCTCAAATGAGGTGCACGCAAAAGGAGGCGGAAGAGGGGTAGCACGGGCGCCCAAATGGGTTTTCAGCACTTCATTGGGGTCACAGCCAGATTTGGGATCATGTTGACTTGGGTGCGGGTGCAATGGGTGGGTGTACTCTAGAATGCGGTGGATCTACTCGGATTGAACCGCTGTCGGCCCGTTCATCGATTTGAGGATCGCCTACATCCAATTCTTCAAAGCACCCAAGCACCAGCAGTCGGTGTCTCTACCTAATCAGGTGCTCGGATCGAGCCCACTTGGTTCAAACATAAATCGCCAGCTGAAAGATTCCACTGATCTCACATCTCAAATGCTGTGCTGGTGCCAACACTCGTACCAAAGCACAGCACCCACCTGCCCTCTCCACCTGCTAAACGGACTTCCCTTCCTTCCTTCCTTCCTTCCTTCCTTCCTTCCTTCCTCCTCCACCCCCGCAAAGACAACACCAACCACCGCGGGTGGCCCGACCGCTCCACCGCCCCACCCCGGCCTCCGACCGAGGAGGTGCATCCGACCTTGCAGGGCCTCGGCGACGGCTGGTGGGACGCGGAGCGCGTCGTGACGGATCAGATCCTCAGAGGAAGGTGGCGGGAAGATGGATGGAGAGGGTACCAGGCTATCAGGGGCTGGGTTTTTGAATGTGTTTCTTATTGTTTCTTGTTTTTTGTGATGAGTTTGACCAGACATCTGTTTTTGATTGTTTTTGAGGGGGGTGAAAGGCTGATTTGAGCTGTGCAGAATGCACAGAAATCACCTATCAGTGCATACCTGCACAGATGTTTCTGAGTGAGGAACGTTCTCGGGCTGCGGCGTGCAAACATGTGGGGATTTCTTTTTGTTTTGCGTGGTTTCTGTTTTTGGGCAGTGCAAAGGTTGAATTGTTTGCATTCCATTTTGTGTTTTCCGATTGGATTGATGTTTACAAGGTCCTTATGGGATCTTATGCGTATATTTGCGACATCATCTTACATGGAACACGACCTGTCGAATCGCCTCCATCGACCAGCTCGAGAGAGAGAGAGAGAGAGTCGAGCGACAAGCTCAACATCGATGAAGGGTTGTTTTGGCCAAACTCGATGAAGTATGACAAAGTTCCTTATCTTTCGTGTGTGTGAAGCACAAATTCATGTTGATGGACTTCCACGCCTACCGGAAATTCATTTTCTAGAACATGGAAATTCGATAGACCTGGATTTTCCCAGTGATAGACCCCAAAAGACCACCGAGAAGGTCAGGGGATAGACTAGACTCTAGACGAACTGGTCAGTCCGATTGCGACCATTGTTGACCCTCTGCAGAGCCAAAGTGGGGGGGGTCGGGTTTTGGAAGAGTATTAGACCCATACACTCCATATGGGACTGACAGATTTACCATACAGTTGGGGTATAGTGAGTATATACTGTAATGAAAAGGGGTCAATAGGGTACAGCAAACATACTACCAGTCCCAGACAGGTTCGAGGCTCGAGGCAGATTGGTGTCCAGACTCCAGACCGTCGTGGTACCGGACCTACTGGACTCTTTTGAGAACCCCCGGTCACGCGAGCGGACCGATCGACTCTGATCACATCGGTATCGACTCTGACCCAACGGATTTGCGATCGAACGATGTGCCCAAGAACTGTGGCCCAGGAATTTCTTTTGCACCACCCGACGGACGGCCCAGCGGCTCGCGCAGAAACGGCCTGTCTTCCAGTACTTGCCGCTCAGCGGCAGGAAGGGGGCCCGGTTCCAGCCAACGGGTGGGGGAATCATTTGGGCGGAGTTTCTTGAAGTGCCTGAATGAGTTCGGGGACGGGATCATTCCGGTGTGTTTTCCAGTGAGAATTCGTGTAAAACAGTTGGTTCGGCATCATGTTGAGCGATCAATCCACAACCTGCAGTGTGAGAACATGTTCTTGTCCAAAAGAGAACAATTCGATGCAACCTACTTACTTGCACCAGGCCCCTGTGGCCCTGTCTCCAAGCACTGAATGTGGTATACACCGCCTCACCAGGACCCCAGCGTCAAGACGACGTAACGCTGGGATGCCGCACGCGCCGGCCGTTGGTTCGTGCCCCCCGTCGCTCGGTGTCGCATACACACGCCCAGCGTGGTCCTCACCGAAAAATAGGAAAGAAGACTCTCTGCTCGTCTGGGCCGGGCCTCACGATAGTTGTGAGAGTCGACGTTGAGGAAAGAAGACCGTTTTATCATCGAGTGTCGTGAGAGTCGGCGTGTTTCTTCACGGCAGGACCTTCGTGAGAGGACGTCGGGTGTGTTGCTTTCGGATCTGCGAAGCGTGTGCCGTGTGCGGTAACCGACAAGGGAAGCATTGACTCGTCTTCCATCGTCATGTTGGAAAGAGGGATTTTCACAGAGTCTTGCGTGCCAGGACCATCTACTAGAGATCCCTAGATAAATTGAGTAGTGTAGAGTAGAGGAGTCCAGGAAAAAGGACACCCACCATCCGGATGGTCCAGGCAGCCAGTGAGGCACATGTGACACGATGTACTTTGGATGAAATCCACCTCATTCAGCTTTGATGTGAATTCCGATGCCTTGGGACGGTTCAAAGCCGTCGATCTTGGGACTGGCTGCCCAGGTTCAACCACTCCGCCAAGAATGGCCCGGTGGTGTCTCACAACGACGAGCTGCCTTTCGTGGCCTGATTTTGTGGGACGGAGAGACTTTTGAGGAATGACTCTCAGCCACAAGGAGTTCCAAGCTCCTCAACATATAATTGGTCAAACATGAAGTGGTCAATTATGGTACAGGGATTCGTTTTATCTCTGGAACCTGGGGGTTATTTTGTAACCGAACCTGGGGGTTATTTTGTAACCTTATACTATATATTAATATAAGAGTCAATCATGGTAACCAGATCCTTGACCAAATGGAACTAGGTCTTTGTTTTCTTGTTTGCATTAGTTAGTTTGCAGCATCAACTTTTGCACATCAGCTGTGGCTCAACGCTGTTTGTTCCAGACTTGGTTCATGAACTAACTTGCTCAAAAATTGTTGGGTCAGATTAGCTGTTGTAAACAGAACATGTTCTCTACATACCACTTATAGAAGGTCGAGCTCACGTAGTGACGCCCGGCATTTCCGTCACGTCAGCGCGGGGTCAGCCGAGGTGTGGCGTGGTTTGAAGATGCACCTCAGCACCGAGGAGTGGAAACTCTCCGCAGAGGTCGCGATGCCTCTCGGCCGAGAGCCTTGAAATGCGGGGGTTGGTTGGTGGTGAAGATGGAGTGGGAGCCACGAAACCCAGTCCAAACCAGAAACAAACACGTTTGCCCCAACAGCCGGTAAATGATCTCAATGGATCTCAATTGCTATGTTGGACACATTAATTACATGTGTTTCTGGGTTGGGACTGGGTTTCCAGACATGTCTGGCCACTGGCAGACCCCGTTTCGGGTCGAAATCTCCAGTCGTCGTCGCTTGCTCCTCAGGTCGTGGTACCACTTTGCTGCCACTGGGAATCCCAGCACGGATGTTTTAACATGGCCGCAGATCCAGGGCCAGGCCAGGTTTTATGGAGGGCACGGCTGGAGGGCCAGGTTTTTGCCTTTGAGTGACGCATCCAAAGGGTGTGGCTTGCTGCAAGGGAATCTCGGACATGTACGGAATGATGGTGCGTTTGAGTGACTCTCTAGTCAAATTCGTTTGATCTGAGGGAATGCATTGGATGCCTTGATACAACTGTGGATTTTCTTGGATGTTTGGAAGCCTGTCTTTAATGTTTATATTTTATACCATAACCATCTTCCACCTCCTGCTCTCATAGAGATGTTATACCATCAAGAACCAGCATTTTGCATGCTGCATGCCTTTGGCCGCGCGCGTTTCCACGCGGTCCCCGGTGCTCATTGGGACTGTGGCTGAGCGCCTCGCTCCTCGCTCGTCGCGGCGTCGCGCATCGCTGAGCGGCAGTCCCCGAGCCTCGGACTGCTCCGGAATCCGATCCACTAGGCCCCGACGCTCATGTTGAAGTTCCAAGTGGCCTCCCAGGGTGGCAACGAGGTCGGACGACCTGTTGCGGACGGGACGGACGCCGTGGGTGGACCTGTTGCGGTGGGTGGGTGCTAGGGATGATTGCACACGTTCGACTGCCATGATGGCCATGATCTGGAGGGTGGGTCCCCAGGTGTTTTGCGTGTCGGGCGATGTGGTAGGTGAAAAGGGACATTCGGCCATCATTGCCAGAAAATGAAGGGTCCTGACGGTTTCGATTTGGAGCCACTGCGGGTTTTACCAAGTGCAGCACAGCAGCAACAAAACATATGTTATTGTGTTGTTTCCATTGGCGTTTGCGGAAGACAATCCTCCTATGTCCGTGGCGGCACCTGCATACAGCCTAATTCAGATTCGACAGGATGCATGAAAGTCTGGGCACATCTGGCCTCGCAGCAGGAAAGCACAAGGAGGAATTCCTAAAGAACGCCCTTATTGCATCCCCTAAACCCAAGTCTCTTGGCACTCGATGCAGACCCTCGCATGCGACGACGCTCGTGTGCTGGGTGTGTTGAAGTCGGATCTTACTGACCAAGACGCCCCGCGACTGCGATGCGGCCCGAGCCCGGGTCCGCCGATGCAAGGTGATGGATGCGGGGTATCGAGATGAGTTGCTTGGAAATATCGTTCGCGGGTTAAGGCGGGTTTCGGATCCTAACTTGGATGTTTGGACTGAAACAATATGTATGGCCTGGAGTACAAGTACCCAAAGACTGCCCAATGTATTGGTGTTTTAGGGATTTTTATGGGGTCATGTCTCCTTTTCCTTCGGTTCCGGGCAGGAAGACCATCCGGTCTCCAGGCAGGAAGACCATCTGGTGAAAACGGATGCGACCGGTGTTTCGCGCCGGAACTCGACACCGATGGACGTGAGGATCACGTGAGTCACCTGTGGGCAAGTGACATGAAGACCGCAAGTGACGTGAGGAGTGACTTGAATGACGTGTGTCAACGTGTGTCAACTTGTGTCAACGTGTGTCAACTTGAATGCTGGAATCTTAGGTCTCCAGATTGAGCACCATCATGATTTCAATTTAAGAAACACAAGCGCTACCATCGCTATCATGAAGGGAATGCTCCAAGGATCATGGGACTGAATAGTCACAAAGATGAGCCCAGTCAGGGGTGCTTGTAAGCAAACCAGAAATCAATTGTCAGACTATCTCAGAGTGGTTCCCAGTCTTGAAATGAAGATGATCTCCACGTCACATGTCTCCTTTTTTTTTGTGTGTGTTTTGATTGTTGTATAGTTAAACTTGTTTGTCAGTTTGCATCAGTTCAACCGGCTTCTTCAGTTTTCGTGACCTTTATCTTTTACGCCCGCGTTTGTGACCAACCGGGATAAGAAAAGATCGCTTGGAAGTGAGAGTGACTTGATGCCATTAGGAGCGTCCCAAAAACTCTTTGGAGCCGAAAATACACATGGGATAAACCATGGATAAACCAGCAATGCATCAACTTCATCAGGAATGTCATCTGAGTCATCTGATGATGGTTCAACAAGACTAAGACATACTACAAGCCCCTTCGAATACATATTTTTAAGATCAGCGCCACGGATTCTGCAGGGGGGGTTGTGTTTATCAACCACTGGGTCAGGTAATTTTCCCGCTGGCTTTTTGCCCCTGTGAATCCCCTGAGGCAATGCAACTTCATGATTGGTTGGTTGAACCGCAGCTTAGAGCGTTGGGCGCCGGTGGACTTTTACATTTGAGCCATGTTTGGCGGATCCCAGGGCAGAAACCAGCCTGAACTGTTCGGTCAGCTGGAACCCCTGCGATTCCAAGCTGGACTCCTGTGGGAACTGCCTGGATGATTGGATGATCTGCGAATCCGAACGGGCCCGTCACCGAAACGCAGGGGTCGAAGCCTTCACCGAAACGCAGGGGTCCGGACCCGAAGCAAACCCTGGAACATACTTTGAGGCAATTCTGGGGATCTCGAGTGATTTTGTTTGTTTGGTTTTCTCTGAATCACAGGTCTCCAAGTTCTGATACAGTTTCAGGATGCTTTTTTTGGAATGGTCCTCGATATGTCCAATTGAAGCTACAGGGTTCATTGTTTAGTATATATAAGGCCCACTCATGCTCTGTGTCCAAGAAGGTGTAGAGACTAAGGCAACACATGAGGATGAAGATTCCAACCGAACTTGGGTTCCACCTGTTGTGAGGAACATCGACGTTGCCGAACTAGGGCAAAATCGTTGGGACCTTCCAGCGAACTGATGGTTCATGTAAGACCCCCAAATAGATCGAACAATAAAGTTGTTTCTATTTATTTGGGGACCACTCTAGGCCCCTAGGCTTTGAAGGGTGAGGTTGTTGCGAGGCGAGCTTCAGTGTTGAAGATTCGATGTGATATGTGTGATTTTGCATGGAATTAAGGGAATGGGCTTGTAGTCTCAAGCATGATTTTGGTATGAAAAAGCATCAAAGCAGAGACGGCAGATGACGGCTTTTCGATCTACTGTATTTGGGGTTATCTCAGCTTCTCCAAGCAGAGACGGCTTCCGGGGCTTGCAGTAGCCATCAAGCACGACCTCGTGCTTGATTCTGTGCGCCTCACAAGCGAGGCGATCGATAGTTCAGCATAGGTCCCTGCGATCCTATTCTGTGGGCAGGCTGTTCAGTCTCTAACCTATCCAGTCTCTATATATGCCTACAACATACCCCGTTTCAGCCTCATTAGAACATTCAACAGTAGTATTCAGCAGTTCTGTTTGCAAGAGATTACCCATTGCAATATATATATATATATATATACAGTTTTTCATGTGGGAGGGGTATGTTATTGTGAATTAATCTCTCTTAGGGTCTGAGTTCCTGCTTAGTGTCGATCAGTAATTCTCCCTTGTCAAGCTGCCCACAGAATCACTTCAATTCTTTGTGATTGGAATGAATACCCATCAATCCTTTTTCTCATTTTTTTCATCCCATCCGTGTATTCATGGAACTAGCTGCCCAGCCGTCACCCTCTGCCAAAATTCTGCAGCCATATCATGGTGTTTTTTTGCATCCTCCACAGCAGACAAGCGGCAGCTAGCAGCATTTATGTTTTCTTTTTCCATGTCCGGGTCTTTAATTCCCCTTTTGAGCTAACCGACTCCCCAATTCTTGGCTGTCGAACTTGTTACAATTCTCATGAATTTTCTTAAACATGTCATTATGAGAAGGCCACAACGGGTGCTCCTCATGAGCCTCGTTCCAGCTATACACAATCATACCCAGCTTAGACCAGCCAAGAAAGCATCCTTCTTCTTGTTAACGGCATCCATAGGAGCAAACAAAAGAACAAGGACCACAAGTGGTCACCTAAGCCACCTCGTTCCTCGGGCAAGTTTCGCATGACTTTGTCCCAAATTTTATGGATTGTCATTGTATGTTACATCATTGTAATCAATTCACAAGATTCTCCTGATGCACAGCCATTCTCCTGAACTCTTCTGGACCTTGATGGGGGGGGAGCGGGAGGTTTATCCATCTGGGTTTGGCAGAACTGCTGTGCCCATCTATATAGCAATATTGCGGTGGACACCAATAGCTAGCTAGGCGTGTGTTGAAGGAACATGCGAACGAGGCACGCGGAGTGTGGTGACCAAACATAGGACTCAGGGACCCATAGGCTTATCTACGGCCATTTGAAGGATTCGAGCAAGTTGTGCTGAGCCGCTGCCATGGAAAAATAGATCAACCTGTGCAGAACTACTGCTGCCAGGGCGTTGGAAAATAAGGGAAAGACTGGCAACATACAGAAATCATGTTCATGTTCTGCGCTGCGTCTCTTGAACCAAGGAACCTTGGGCTCCAAACGCGCTGCCAACCCTCCAGGGATTCCAGGGACCCTTTTTGTTCTTAACATCAGAAGTGATGTGCTTAACATCAGAAGTGATGTGTTTGGACCGCTGCCTCCGGGCTAGGCAGTCGTTGCTGTTTGGGGATGAATCTGGACCAGTGATCTGAAAACGACAGGAATCGCAGGCGGTACTGCTGAACAATTCGAGCGGTTGAAGACCAATCAGTATATATAATTCCAGGTCCAGGTTGAGGGACACCCTTTAAGATACCAGCATTTACCATCTAAAAACCTCCGGTGTGGCAAGGGCCGTCTTCTTGAAAAGCATCCGGTCGGCTTGCATCCGCTAGGTCGGCCAGGTCGGTCTGAAAGGAAAGCTGAACGGGGAGCTTGACATAAGAACACATCTTTGAGGCTTGCTTGGTGATGACGATAAGAAGAGATGAGACTCAGATGAGATGTGTTTATATATATCTCCACAAGTTCATCGACTCCTTTTGAACATCATCAAATCCAAGAACTGATCCACTGATGAAAGGAAGGTGAACCATGTTCTCCAACCATGCAATATAGAACAACCATGTTCTCCCTGTGAACTGCAGAACTTCTCTACAACTCTTGGGGACTCGATCCGCTGCAGATTGGAGCACCAGAGCACCTTCAGACACCCAAAGACCAGATCTGGACCCGGCGTCGTTCGTACCCCAGGAAATGGGACCATGACCCCCAAAGAGGTACAAAAAATCACACAAGTACCCATTTTTGCGAACAAGCTATAGTACGTAGCGGTGCCCTTTGTTACCTTCGCAGCTTTTTGTTACTAGTATGGCCAGGAGCTACGTTCGTAGCGTCCTCTTGCTCCTAGTAGCCTGGTGCCCATGGAGACCTCAGAGCGCCTCCCAGGCCCAGTCAGCGCCACGGCCGGCCCAGCCGCGCCCAGTTGGCGCGCGCGGTTCGCAGTGGGCGCGCTGGTGGGCGCGGCAGTGGCAGGTGGGGGGGGATGGGATGAAGAGGACCTGGTGGCGGGGTGGGGTGAAGGATCAGGTGTGGGTTTTCTTTGTAGCTGGAAGAGGTACATTGACGAGTTCCTTCAGTTCTTGTTACAAGAAGGGACATGGACGAGTTCCGAAGTCATGTGCTTTCGCAAACAGGGCACCAGTGACCGAAACTTCATGGGTGCAGTACGAGTACGTAGCGTCAGCATCATTCAGCTCAGGTTGTACCTACAGGATCCATTTTACTTCATAAGGAGATTGAAATTCTTGCAAGTATGCTATTGCCTAGACGTTCCTTTCGGTTTGGTTTGCCTGCCCTGGATCTCCGCCGTTCATCTCCTGGATCTGTGGGTTCCAACGGCCAACACCTATTTTTAAGCGTCTCAGTTCGGACCATGATCCACCTGCTTGTCAGTTCAGGGTCATGTCCCATGTTCGGTAGTTGAAGTGGGGTCAAGCCTCTGTGCTCACAGCACCAGGGGGTCGTACCTGGGTTTCTTCCCTCCACAGGCGCTCGACGCAGGGGCGTGAGGGGCGTGGCGCGACGGGCGACCTGGCAGATGAGAGGAACACCGTGTTTGGGAGCGTACTTGGGTGTTTATCGGACTTTTGAGGTCTCAGAAGGGGGGGGAGTACCCAAGACCATCCATGTACGTGTGAAATTGTTACCTACAGTGATTTGGATGGGGTATAATTACGGTAAATGTATGTAACTATTCAATACATGGGAAGGTTTGGGTACTGATCTATTGATTGGAGGACACCATAGTTTGGGTGGACAGTGTGATCTTCAGACTTGGGGAGGTAGAAGTCTGCATCGGTGGGCCCAGCTCGCCAGTGTGCCAGCTCGCCAGACCGTGCTCCAACAGCTACCTTGGCCAATGTTCGCTCCAAGCCCTTTTCAAATGACTTCAACCATGGATGGAACTAGTTGATCCTCCAATCACCTACAACCCAAAAAACATCCAGTCCAACAAACCCAGAACATCCAGTCAATATAGATATAGCGATATAGCTGCAGCACATTTTGGTCACTGCTTCCTGGCCAAAACGGAGTCACCATCGACCAAAACGGAGGGCCTCGTGATTCCTAGAATCTGCAGGGCATTTTGAGCATCTGCGCACTTGTGAAGCTGCATGTCTCACGGACGCTTGGTACTCAAGGAGGTTGAACCCTTTGTGCTGCCACCGCCATCCTGAACGCCTCCCTCCCACGGCGCGTCGCTGAGGTCGCCGCGGCGAATGTCGCTGGCTTGGAAGGCACGGAGAATGTCGTGACCGAGCTCTGAGCGACCGGCAGTACCTGCGATGGTGGGTTCATGTGGATGAACTGTCCGAAAAATATCCAAATGTTATATACAGTTATAGAGCAGTTAGTTACTTGAGCAGTTAGTTACTTGTGCTTTGTTCTGGGAATCTTAAGGCTTTTCTTCTGCCAGAGTTAGTGGCTCTTCTGGTTGTTCGACCCACTTGGAGTTTCCGGGATGTATGGTCAGCTCCAGTAGCTGGATATGCTGGTCACGAGTCCTGCGGGAACAGGTAGGGGGTGTGCTTTGTTCTATGTTTGGTCTAATAATACAGTTACATATCTATATAAATAGTCCCTGTAATACTCCAAATAACTTCAAAGAAGGTGGCTTTGGGCAGGGATTTGATCTTGTAAACAGCTGCCTGTTTGTCGGGCTGAAGGTGAAAACATCCCAAACCTGTAGGCTTCGAGGGTGTTGCAAGCCCGGAACCATCCCGGAATTGTTTTAAGGAACCATTTGGCAGGACATCCATTTTAGGGAACCATCCCGGAACCATCCGTTTTAAGGACACCCACCATTTTGGGAGGTCTTCAGACCATGGTTTTCCTGTCAACGTTGGACCCGACCCCGACCCCCGGCGAGGCCCGAAGATGTGCCTCGTGGTCTTCGGCGGCACCGGCTACATCGGACGGGCGACTGTCCGGGGTCCCAAGAGACTTGGACCTCCAAACATAACATCTCACCACCCTCCAGGGGTGAGCACTCGAGACTCGAGTGCGAAAGTGAGGGATAGGGTGAGTGCGCGTGAGTGGGTGAGTGTCCGGTTTTCGACAGGTCGTTTTTTTGTTGCTAATGAATTCTAAACAAGCGGGGCACCATTTTGGGCACCTGTTGTTGATCAGGGAACACTATGGAACACCTGTTGTCATAGCTGGTCATGGTTAGTTTTGTGGATCAGGCAGGTGATTGGCATTGGTTTATCTTCCCGGATTGGGTAAATCCCCTTCTGGGACCGGGGGAAATATGTATAAATTGTATAAATTCTTTCCCGGCTTCCGACTCAGCAAATCCAAGTCTTGATGTTGGATATGTTAACGGTCCTTTCAATCCATTAAGTAGAGAAAGATGTCATTTCAAGCCAATGACCGCCGATGTGGAACACCACCCAGCAGTGACCAGCGGCGGGGGTCATCGAAATGGAGCAGGTGAACGCCTGGTCCAACTGACTGAGTCATGACACCCTGGAAGAGACCTGACATGGAACCTGATTCCGTCACTGCACATGGAGGATCTTGTAGACGTGAAGCAAACCGCACAGTGTCTCGCACACTCCCCCAGATGAAGCCAACCACGGAGGATCCAGCTTGGCACAACGCTTTCGGTCGTCTGCCTTGGCGGTTGGGACTTTCTGGGGTGAACCACTCGGACCGGTTTTTGCCACGCTCGACGTCCTGCGCGAACCTGAAATGTCCCGTTGACGAAGCTGCAGAACTGCAGGTCTTCAGATGGAAAGTACTGCAACAAACACAGAAAGTGGAGTCAACATGAGTCAACCCTCCCTCCGTCCATACATGGAAGTAGACCATTCCTTGGGATATGAGGAATTCCGTTTTTTTTCCACCCTGCCGGTGATGGTCATCCACTTCGAAGAAATCGACTCTGACTCGTACTCCGACCATTGGAAGTAGGAGACGTTCCGGTCTTCCGGTTCCCCATCGTCTTCCAGTCTTCGCGTTGGACCGGGACGGACCCCGGGTCCATGGCTTCATTGAACATATTGAACAGAAGCTCCGTGACTGAACAGCCCCGTCCCTGCAATGAGGCTGGGCACCCCGACACATGAGTACCTTTCATCATTGCCATTGCTCATCAAGGGATCGTCCGACAGTCGGGCCGGTAGGAAAAGGAGATGTGATGTGGTTGCCAGACACTCCATATATGAAATGTTTACCTACATTCACCCCTGAAACCACCCCAAAGCAGAAGACACATCCGAAGGCTGGGGTTGAGAGGTACGCCCAACTCAGCTTGTGTCAGGGCAAGCCTCATCTAAAAGATGTTCTTCAGTTGTCGTCAGAAGTTGCTGAGGTCAAAGAGCTGGCTGCGCGTGGGCACGAGGTGTGCAGCGACGAAGACCGAACTCGACCGTGTGTGGGTCATTGTGGCCGTTGAATCTATTCACGAGGTAGCTTCAGCATGCTTCAGCTACCTGAGTTCTCCTTGCTTTAGCAAACATGTATTCCAATCCTGGAGTTGGGATTGTGCATTGAGTTTGGCCCTGTAAGGAAGTACGGCTGCCAACTCTATTTTTTGCTGGTCAAAGCGACGGGTGGGTGCTCATGGTCAGTCGTCATGAGTAGCTACATAGACATCGTAGACATATTCTTATGTCTAGTAGTCATTGAGTCATCCTGGAGTGCGTAGATAGAATATTGGACTATCCAAAAACATAATACAATAAGAAACTGCTGATATGTTTTTGTTGTGCTTTGTCACATTCTGTCTACTCCAGGATGGTTGCAAATCTTGGATCTGGCATTTGATGAAACTTCGCACTCCCACTCTTTAAGAACATCATGTCAGGCCCGGCAGGTTCACAATCCCCTGGTCTCTGAGTCATGTTGGATCAAATTATATGAGGCTACAGCCTATTAGCCCCCCCATACCTGATGTTTGCTGTCTACCAGTGCCAGGTCATCGTTTTCGGAACGAAGAGCCCCGACCTCCGCCCTCCACCAGGTGGTGGTTTGCACCCGAAGTAAGTCCGGCATCGGGGGCAAGGAGTCCCTAGAGGCACCGCAAGAAGTACCAGTGGGGCCGCCACGCGCGGTGCGGATGGAGACGTTTGTTGACTGTCTTGGAGCTATTTTGGGCTGTTTGGTGAAGATACCATTTCCCCCAAGCAAAGCAAACACATCATTTGGCGGTAGGATGTGGTAGATGTTTTTTGGGGTGCTGAAGGGAGTGTGCAGAGTGCGGTATTTTTTGCGGAGTCCTTGACGGTACCGATTTCAGGTGATTTTCTTGACGTGGCTTCAGGTATCATGGATCAAGAATCTTTATCCGGAATGATTGCTGATGTGAAGGGGATACCAAACAGGTCTCCACATGAATGAGAGGCTAACACCACTAGTAACAAGGGCATCGCGGCATCGTAGCAAGGGCATTACTAGTAGTAGCAAGAAGCTACTAGTAGCTCGAGGGGCACTCGTCGTTCCCGTTCGGTTTGGGGCAGAGAGGAACATCAGCGCTTGCGGGCGCTTGCGTGTTTGGATGAATTGGACCTTGTTCTTTGGTGGGATTCTGTTCAAAGAAGGACCTGAGATTTTGCCGTTTATACAATAAATATGTTCAACCTTGCCTAAATCCTAAACATGTTTGTTATTACACGTGTCCTCAACTGATCCCTACACCATGTAGCTCAACCTTCCAGGTAGGTCAACCAAGGTGTCCTAGTTTTGACCCAATTGACCAGCCCATTGATATTTCGCAGGATGTCCAGAGATCCTTCGCAGGCGCGTTACCAAAAACAACACGCGGTTCACCTGTGTTGTGGGAGCTGCTCAAGAGCTTCGCAGGTGGTGTGGTTCTCCACAGTTTGGTGTCTTTATTTACTCTTTAGTCTTCAACCTTATTTGCCAATGACTACCCCTGTTGAATCATATTTTTGAGATGGGCTTTAACCATCTTTAACCACCATCCAATCAAGATATATCAATATGATGAAAGTTCGTGGCGATTTGTGAGTGCCCATGTTGCATGCTTTATCCTGACTTGAACTCCCTTTCAGTCGTGATGCCACCTCGTTCGAAGCCAATTTCGATTCCAGATGCCAGACACTTCCATTCTGCTTGCTTTCAACGGATCCCAGCAACCTCAAGTGTGACCTTCGCACCAACACCTCAAACCGAACAAAAAAACTAACTGACCGGACCTCTATTTTGGGCCACCCAGCACCCCAAATACAACCTTTCCTATAAAAACAGGGACTATGTTTGGTTTCTATACAGGTCATAGGTGATTTTGTCGGTGGATTCAGCCGGAGCTTCCATGGGACTACTATTGCACAGCTGCGGCTGCGGTGTCGATCACATGATGTTGGACCCAGTCGGACAGTTTCCGCTGGTTGGTGAATAGACAGGGTTTTTGGTGGGTTTGCCCTTCCAGGTCTGTATATTCATGCATGCAACATGGGGCAAACAAAATCGCAGGTGAAGGCGCACGCACACACATGTTTGCAAAAGAGCAACATGATTAGCGCAGCATATCCCCGTGTTTTTTTTTTTGTTGGGGCCTCCTTGCAATGGGCGGGTGGGAGAAACACTGTGAATGTTGGTTTTTAAATGTATATACCTGTTTCAACATGTTTCAACTTCTGGATCTGCTTCCTCCGCGTGCACCTTCTTGTAGTTGTTCACACATGTGTCATTTCATCGCAATATTCACACGGACCTTTCGGTATTGACGTTTGATGGACGTATGGACGTTCGGGGTTCCTGTGACAATGAGTATATAACGTCTTTGTATATAGGTTCCAGTAGCGGATCAGCGATTAGCGATTTGGTACCCTTCCTGGAAGCACGCTGCAGCCTTTTCGTGTGCGGGAAAGGTCTTTGTGCGAGGGTCTTGACTTCGGGAAAATCCGTTGGACTGGAAGTGTGGCAGAGGCCAATTTCTCCTCCACCCGCCAGGGCGATCCAACTGTAGGCTTTTGGAAGCCACCAGCTTGCCAATCCGAGGTCGCTTGATGCAACCTTCAGAGGTCCCCCCCTTACCGGCCCTACTGAGCACTTGCCGGATGCTGGTGTCCAAAACAAAAAACACATCAAAAAGCAAGTACATACATCCCCCCCAAAAAGACCAAACATGACCATAACATCCAGCAGCTAACAGACACCCCCGACACCAAAACACCAACAACCTTCCCAAAGCAGACATCTTTCTTCCGAAAGCGACGTGACAGACCTGGCAGGTGAAGGGAACATCACTGTCGTCGAGGGCGACGTGACAGACCCTGCAGCCTTGGCACGGATACCCGGGTTGGAAGTGGGAGTGGGAGGAATGGAGAATGTATTCCTACCACTAAGTGGACAGTCAGGAGGTCGAGTTATGAGTGGCACGGATGTTTTCCTTCAACGTATATATTAGACCTCCCGTCATAGACAGATAGAACAGTAGATCCACGATCGTATTGGACACCGTGCCACTATCTATTTGGGGATCACTCTAATCCTACCCAGGCAAAAATTGATCACCTGCAGCAGGTGAGCAATTTTTGGGGGATTGGGGAGCAAAACTCATAAAAAGTACAATACTGGTGCAACATTTGTTTCACAACGATTTTCCCAACAAAACTGAGGAGGGGTCAGTCAATGTAGGCTGTTGATGACTGATGAAAAGCAAACCGCCATATGGATGCCTGAAGGATCACAGTCTCCAAATAGAGGATCTGATGACTGGTGGTCCCACAACCTTTGCCAATAAGCGTATGCCCTGTGCACAGTGGTTGTATGAAGCCGAAGTGTGTACTTCTCAACATTGGGGGTATCAATATATCGTCTCCATTTGTCTCCCATGAAAGTTCTTCTGGCTTTGTTTTTGATACCAAGGCAGTCGGGGATGGTCCTTGACAAACAGAAGGACTAGTAGGGAACTTATGGGAAGAGTGTTGTCTCAGCGTTCAACTTGTTCTAAAGCAAACACTCACCTTGAACTTGAAACCGTGCAAAGCACGGGAAGCAGAGGAAAGGGTCACCAGATTCCTAGGATATTACATAGGATTACTTTGATGGCCAGCCCCACCAGGATTTCTGCAGGACATGGCCGAGACGAAAGTCCTTTGGGTCGTGGTTTGGGTCGTAGTTTTGCCAAACAACAGATGTTATAGGTTGTGGTCCTTATGTTAGTTGACAGATACGTTGTTTTTCTATGTTTTTCTCGCGTCCAGGTCGTTTTCTTTCAATGTTTTACTTGGCATACCGTCCAAACTTCTTGTAGCCTCCCCACTCATGTCCTCTCCTGGTGCTCTGGTGCAGAATCGGCCGCTGAGGATGCCTTGTTTGCCTCGCTCCCGCGGACAGCGCAGGGCGCCGTGTGCTGCTTGGCCAGCCGCTCCGGGGGTCGTCAGGACGATCCGCCGATCCGCCGATCCGCAGACCGCCTGTGGCCGTGACTGGTAACACCCAGCACGTGCGCCTCCGTCAGCCTCGGTTTGCTTAGGGTGTGGTGTTCTCTGTGTCTTTGTTGCCCCCCCCAAAAATGGGTCGGGAGTTTGGGAGCGATGGTCCAAGGTTGAGACTGCCGTTTTGGGAGCTGGTTGTCCGCAGTTCAGCCCACCTCCCCTCGTCGAGAGAGGATTCTGTGGATCGACCTCTTTGGGACTCGGACCTCCCACATCAAAGCTGCTTGTGGTGGGCCAGATGCACCGGGAACTCAGATTTACAAGGGCCCTCCATGGCCCTCCATGGCCCTCCTGGATTTGGGGAGTTGCATGTTGTTCTCTGAGCATGAGATGGTAGATTCTAGATAGGATGTGCTCCAAATTAATGGTGAAAGGGGGTCCGATCTTAAAAGATGCTGCCGCCAAAAGCAAGGCTTGAGAGTGGAGTCATTGGAACACGATAGGCGAGTTTTGTCCAGTCTGACTCATCTCAAAACCCACCATACCCCACCAACAAAGGAGTCATAACATGTCATACCCCACCACTACCGTGGAACTCACTGGTGCCCCTTTCTTGATCGGTCACGTTGCACAATCATTTTTGTTGAGCACATGTTGGTTGCCTCAAAATAAGGAGACCCTCGAACACTCCCCAACACAACTTGCATTGTTCATGTCTCTGATAACAAAGGTCTTCTACACACCCTCCCAGTGCACCACACCCTCCCAGCCACCGTCCGAATCCACCGTCCTCCGTCCTCCATCCGTCTCGGACCGATGACGAGAGGATTCCTTCGACATCGACTATCAAGCCACTGTGAACTGCGTCGAGGCGCTGGGCGAAGCGGTTCGGGGCGATGTTCGGACGGGAGGAGCAAGCGGAGGACACGAAGGATGAGGATGGATGAGGACGGAGAGCGGAAGTGAAGCTTCCAAACACTCCGAACCAGAGTTAGGGAAAGCACATGTTTGCTAGTCCATGAGTTCGGATGTTCTTCCTTGTTACCATGACTTGCCCTTGACTTTGTCATATTTTGTCTATATAGATCAAGACGAACCGGAAGAGTCAACTTCACGAAACTGGTTTCTCCTTCTTCAGGTTCCAACCCTCGTTTTTTTTCGGTGATTGATCCCTATCAAGGATCCACGTCCAAACTCGGACTATGTCGGACCCTCCAAGGTTCGGCTGTTTGGAGACCCGAGCACAGGTGGCGAACCTGGGTGCCTCTCTTTGTCACCAGGAAGCACCTGTGAAGTTGGGTGCTGGTATATATGATCATATGATCCATCCCTGGGTTCCAATGTCCCAACTCCAAGAATTTCTTTCCGTCAACCTCCCTCAACAGCTCAGCCGGGCGAGACTGGCGCCCAATACAGCGGCAGCCCGAGATCGAACGGACGCACGAAAAAAACGAGTGTTTCCTTTTTTTGGCAGATCAAGCCGGTTTTTTCTTCTCTTTTTTCGCAGATAAAGTATTTGTCTTTTTTTCGCGCAGATGTTTCAACGCTTTCCCACACTTTCAGACATTTTTCAATTGACTATTGCTTATGGTGCAATTTGATATGTTTGGACAAGGGCGGTGATTTCTCAAGGATTGAGATTCATTACCCAGACGCTTTCACTTCCATGTAGAACAAGTAGAGAAAAGAGGCTTTGGTCCATGCAAGTGTTTGTATAATTGGACATCACGGTTGCCCATTTTGGGTTCCCTACATGGTATTATGCTTCCCTATTTGGCAACTAACCAAACACACGATTGGCAGGTGATGGTGCTCGATCCCATCGGCCGTCTTCCCCCTTCAACTTGCGGTTCGTTGGGGGTTTTGGGGTCGGACTTCGTTCCGCATCCATCTCCGCCGTGCTGCGTTCGCCAGGCTTCGCGAAGGGCGAAGCTGGCGCAGTTCGTGCTGCTCTCCGCTGTGTGTGGGGGCGCTTGGGTTCACACAAGAATGTCTCTCTCTCTCTCTCTCTTTGTGTGTGTAACCTTGGAGATCCTTGGAGTCATATGGGGTGTCTCTTGGACTCTGTTGTTTTCTGTATACAGGGGTGAATGGAGCACCAAGGAGGTTTGCTCCGAAAACGAAGCACTCCTTGGCATTGACTAGGCACAGACAACATCCGAGACGGCCCTGTTGATCAGGCCCATTGACTAGGCTCTGATTCTGAGACCTGGAGTTGCGTTCTGAGCCCTGGAGTTGCTCTTGAAGGTTTCAATCTTGAAGGTTTGCATGCTCAACTTATGCCAGAAGTTGGGCTACAAGAGGATGACTTCTTTTTTTTTCCGATCGTGTTCTTACTCTCGACATCTCCGCCCTTGTTCAGTCCGCAACGACCGACGTTCCACGTTCGACGTTGGCAAGAGATGGGGTTCTATCAGACGCGATCGGTGGGACTGCCATAGGACTGCCGATCAGGCCAGGGGTGGTTGAAAAGGGGTCAATTGATCGGCAGTCCTATGGCAGTCCCATGGAGCATCTGGGATATGGCGTTGATTTGAAGCGCTTTCCAGTCAGGGGACCGCAGCTGATTTGTAGCGCAGTCAAGTCTTTGACAATGAGAGGACACCCGCTTTAAAGCTGCTTTTGGCATCTTTCGGCAACATCGACATTTTTCACACCAGATGTCCAGCGCAGGATGGGAACTCAGTGACGGTTGATCAGCAAGGAGCTGAGCGATGTCACCATCAACATCATTGCAGCAGGTATGCAGTGATTGTACCCTGCTATGGATGACAAACCTCTATGATGCATACCAAGGTAGAATGAAGCATCTGTTTGGGACAGTTGGTCGTTTGTTTCATCCTTAGGAGCACTCCCAAACAATACTATACCACATCACATAGCATGTTTTGTAGGCATGACATGCATGCCTCGTTGTTCATGGAAGTACCAGCCCCACGAAGAGGCTTGCATTGAACACTGCAATCGGTGAGGACGCTCACCGACGTACCTGCGTGATGAAAGGGAAAAAAAACCACTTGGTCCCTGCTTTTCAATAGAACAGGACCTCTGGTCCTTGGCTTGGCTTTGAAGTAAGAGTGCAATTGAGCTCGGCAGACTTAGCTTTCATGTGACACTTCCACCTTGGGCCTTCAAGACCTTTGAGGTGACTTTCGTTGAGCTCCTTTTGCACTGGTTTTACCCAAGATGTTCAGACCGCACTTGCTTTTTCCCAAGTGGGTGGGTGGGTGGCAGCGCTGGATGTTCAGGTCACTCCATCCTGGCAAAAAATAAATGGACATGATTGACAACCCTTAGTTGTACCCAGTGAGTAAGTTGGACAAGTGGGATAAGTCCACAACACTCAGTTCGTGAGTTCTACTAAGACTATATCACATTAGATCAACCAGTGGCCCACCTCTATCTTGAGATGATTCATACATGACAGGCAACTAATTCTGCTTGTGAAGCAGCCTAGTCCAACGGTGTTTCTCGTTTCAGCCACCGAGGCGTCCAGCGGCCTTTGCTGGCCTTCCAGGAAGCCAAGCTCAAGGCAGAGGCAGCGTGTGGAGCACGAAACCGAACGGGACGCGGTCACTCGGAGCACACGGAACCAGTTGGTTCAGGATAAGAAGGCGGCCGAGCTCGCACCATGAGGTTGCTATCCTGGCAACTTAGTCGCTGACGTTGGCCCCAACATAGCCCAAAACGAAGAAACACAAAACAATAAACTCAAAAATATGTCGACTCTCTGTCTCTACAGCCTGGAATTCAATAACCGTTCCAGTCCACAGATTGATCTGTAGCACGTGCAACCTCAGCTGCTCGCGCTTATTTCCAATGTGACACCCTTCATGGAGTGGCTGGACAGCACCACCGCAGAGCACAAGGACTTGATGAGACCAGGTCCTGAGATTTGTGAAGAGATCTGCACGACTCCTTGACAGAAGCATGGGCCAACGTGGATGGCACCACCTGTTTGGTATTTGGATTTCATGGTCATCTGAACTCAGGGTCATGCCATCCACGTTGGCCCATCATGATTTGCGAGATGAGATTAGAGTGATGGGATATCTGCAAAGCGAACGACAACATGATCGACATGGGTCGAGATGTGTGGCCTGTTGGTCCAATTCTTCAAGGCTTCGCTGTTCGCCAACGAAAGCATGCCCCAGAAGAAAAAATGGCCCAACGATCAGTGAACACCATGTCTTTGTTTCTCCTTTCGAATCTCTAGGGATCCACGGATCCCCCCCTCTGAGGTACGGTGATGTGTGAGGAACTCCTTGATGTAGGCGCCAGCCAGTCGGGTCCAATCACTGCTCAGAGGGTGGCAGTGGATGGCATCAGAGACCTTGTATCCTTCGTAGGGATCCTAATGCCGCTCGCTAGTAGCGCGATCCGCGCGTGGCTGAGAACCATTTGGGCATCCATATATCGCAGGAAGGAATGTGACCTTGGTTCGCAGAGATGTACGGGTTCCTACGTTTTTCTTGGCTTCATGCCGTGGACCACGTGGATCATGCTTTTCTCATGTGGTTGAGGAAGATGGCAGATGATGGCAGTGACCAAGAACGCCCATGTCTGGTGTCTGGCCGTGTGTTGGCCATCACTGTGGCCGGTGGTCTTAAGGCAGAACATCCTCCTTCTTTGCACAGGATCTGAGACGCTTAGAGTGGCGAGAGCACAGCGGCAGCCTTGGTGAAAGGAGTGAGGCACCTTGAAGGCCAAGAAACTGACCAAGCGCACTTGGGCCATCGGTCAAGGCTAGAAAGATCTCACAGCTGAGCAACCAGGAGAACTTGGTGCCGCAGGATCATCAGGTCATGAGTGGTTTCGGATCATCATGCCCTGCATTTGGACACTGTAGGCAAATCTCATCCTGAACCCTCCGTCGTAGCAGAAAAAAGTGACAGAAAAAAACTGCACATCATCAAAAAAAGCGTTCATGCCTTGAAAAAGCGTACCACTGGAAAGTCAGATGTAGCTTCATTCCACCTTGTGTGGTCTTCAAGTCCATTCCCCTGCCACATGCTGGCACCCATCCCATGCACACACAACACACGCTCACACACTACGAAGCGGCAGCCAGCAATCCCTTTCTTTGATCTTCAGTATCAACATAAAAGATTCAAGTAAAAAAACATCCGCCACTTTTTAGAAATTGCGCCCGGGTTGCGGGAATTTGCGCCCAAGTTGCGGGCACCCTTTTTGGAACAAAATTGGTAAAGCACGCCCAGAAGGTTAGAACCAAACCTTTGTGGTTTCAATTGCACATACTAGGAGAGGTCATACAGGATTTCCACCCGGTCCATAGGGCCCCCAAAGGCCCACAAGGGTTGATAAGGACACTGGTCAGGAACCAGTAGGCTTTAGAATTTACAACACCAAAAAGCGCTCATATGTCCTGAAAAGTGTACATACCCTCAATTAACGCTCAAACTTCCAATAAGTGCTCCAAACCATGGTTCGCCAGAAATAAGTGTTACAAAGGATGCTTCAGGATACCTGGAGCTTCAACTCTTCACATTCTATTGCGAGAAATGTTCGACCAGGGGGATTACCGGACCTCCAGCGTATGAATGACTTTGGATCGTCATACGACCCTGGGTCGTCAGTCGGAGCGGCTTTTCACGCGCTCCCAACACCGTTCCAGCAGCACGCTTGGGCACATCACAGCAATCGTTTTCCTCAAAATCCAAGCAGAGAGCAAGTGTTTCTGGCTTCAAGTGTTTTTCTTCTCAAGTGGTGGTCAATTCCCTGCGAGAGTATGCTGGATGTGTTTCCATGTACTCTCCCGGAACTAAAACGGAAGTGGCAAACCTCCTGTTTGTAGAGGAAACTTGTCTTTGCAGGGACCATTTTCCACTTCCATGATTGTTGTAGGGAGAGTAATTATTTAGGATTCATCTGTTGAGTGGTGGAGAAATCCAACAAAGGGATGCTACCTTTGCATAGGATCTTTGTAGAGACGAGCTGGGTCAAGTGCTTCTTGCCCACTTCACACTTTAATGCGGAAGGTGGAAATTTACGACGTACCTCCTATAGCTAGAGACATAGCAAGAGGTTGGAGTTTCCTGTGGTTCCTGGCTGGCGCAGGGCATATATTGTGTCCTGCAACATAGGTGTTTGATGGGTTATGTCCAAGCAGGCAACCGCGGGTTGCAACACAATAGTCATTGAAGCGGATGGTGGGAAAGCACAATACTTTGAGCACATCAGTGTTAGCCAGGTTTTGTTCTTGTCAACATACTTTCCATCAATTCCCAATCAGAGTGTGAATTCCAGTGTCTTGCTCACGTTGGTGACCAACCCGTTGCTGGTCTTGTCCTCCTTCCCTCGACCGGTGCTCCCGCGCCGATCTCCGGTGCACCGTCGCTGGCCGTCGCTGGCCGCCAGGCGGAGCTTTGCAAGGAGGGGCCCATGGCCTATTCCGTGGTGTGGAGCCGAGTCCGAGTCGGACCCGACATGGACCCGTCGCTCCGGTAAGAGTCGCGACGAGCCGACGCGAAAGGATTTCTGGGGTTGTTGCTTTATTCCCCAATAGCCATGCTATGGGGTCTTGCAAAACTAATAGGCGGACGGGGTCTCCAGCTGGGCTAATTGTGTCTTCATATTTCGGAGTTCTGACAAATTTCGAAGCAAGAATTGACGCCCCTTAGTCCCTACCCTGACCGTTCCCTAGAAGGTTTGTTGTTTGGGGTCTGTTGGAAAGTTGAGGGTTTGCTTTGACTTGTGATTCGGCCCAGAGAGATGAATCTTTTGATGTGGTGGGCTCCCAAAGCATAGTTCCCTTCATGAGATTCTTCGTCAACTTGTGTAAAAGTAGGACTGACAAGTTATGACAACAAAAGCTATTGAATGAACGACACTGAAAGTGTGCCTTATGGACATTATCGCTTATCAAGTTGAAGCCCGTGATGCTGAAAATGCGGGTGTCCTCTTGGTCTCTCTTTTGACATACAAAACTTCAATTACTTTACTTCGAGTGATCCCCACCATGACATTTCAATCTTTTGACTTGATGCCATAGTGAGGAGCATGTTGCCATGGTCGTGAGTATTGTAGTTCTCGATTTTGCTTGTGGGTCCTCGGGTTGTGTGCTGCGGTTGTGTGTTGTGGTTGTGGTTGTGTGCTGTGTTGTGGTTGTGGTTGTGTTTGTGATTGTGTGTTTGTGGCTGTGTGTTTGTGATTGTGTGTTTGTGGATGTGTTTGCGGTTGTGCTTGTGGCTGTACGTTTGTGGTTGTGTCTTTGTGGTCGTGTTGTTGTGGTTGCGTGTTTGTGGTTGTGTTTGTGGTTGTGTGTTTGTGGATGTGTTTGTGGCTGTGTTTGTAGTTGTGTGTTTGTGGTTGTGTTTGTGGTTGTGTGTTTATTGTTGTGTCTTTGTGGTTGTGTGTTTGTTGTATTATGTTTGTGGTTGTGTGTGTGGTTGTGTTTGTGGTTGTGTGCTGTGGTTGTGTTTGTGATTGTGTTTGTGGTTGTGTGTTGTGGTTGTGATTGTGCTTGTGATTGTGTATTTGTGATTGTGTGTTTCTGGTTGTGTTTGTGGTTGTGTGTTTGTGGTTGTGTGTTTGTGGTTGTGTGTGTGGTTGTGTCTTTGTGGTTGTGTTGTTGTGGTTGTGTGTTTGTGGTTGTGTGTTTGTGGTTGTGTTTGTGGTTGTGTGTCTATTGTTGTGTGATTGTGGGTGTGCGTTTGTTGTTATGTTTGTGGTTGTGTTTGTGGTTGTGTGTTTGTCGTTGTGTCTTTGTGGTTTTGTTGTTGTGGTTGTGTGTTTGTGGTTGAGTGTTTGTGGTTGTGTGTCTGTGGTTGTGTGTCGATTGTTGTGTTTTTGTGGGTGTGTGTTTGTTGTTATGTTTGTGGTTGTGTTTGTTGTTGTGTTTGTGGTTGTGGTTGTGGTTGCGTGTTTGTGGTTGTGTTTGTGGCTGTGTGCTTGTGGTTATGTGTTTGTATTTGTGTGTTTGTGGTTGTGTTTGTAGTTGTGAGCTTGTGGTTGTGTTTGTGGTTGTGTGTTTGAAGCATACTATCTGCCATTCAATCTGCCATTCTTTCTGGCAATCTATCTGACATACTATCTGGCATACTGTTTGTCTGGCATTCTATCTGGCATATTTTCTGGCATTCTATCTGGCAATGTATCTAGCAATCTATCTGACACACTATTTGGCATACTATCTGGCATATCTTCTTGCAGCATTCTATCTGGCAATCTACTTGGCATTCTATCTGGCATTTTATCTGGCAAACTATCTGGTTGAGGTCCAGCGGTGCACACTGCGATCGGATCCTTGCGGTTGAG